TTGAAGCCGCCGGGCTCCTGGCGGCCGCAGGGCCAGCGGCAGAGCTGGCGGAAGCAGCGCTTGAAGTTCTCGTCCAGGAAGGCGTAGAGCAGGGGGTTGAGGCTGCTGTTGGCGTAGCCCAGCGCGATGCACAGGTGCAGCGCGGCCACCACGAGCGGGTCGCGCCGGTTGATGTCCACCAGCGTCCAGACGATGACGAAGATGTGGATGGGCGCCCAGCACACCACGAAGGCGCCCACCACCACCAGCACCATGCGCGTGATGCGCCGCAGGCTGCGGTCCTTCTCCTTGGAGCCCGAGAGCACGCGCACACTGCGCAGGCGCAGCAGCATCAGGCTGTAGCACACGGTGATGATGAGGATGGGCACCACGAAGGCGAAGAGGAACACGCAGATCTTGGTCACCGTGTCCCAGTACCAGCTGGGGCTGGGGAACTGGAGCGTGCACACCACAGCTCCGTCTGCATCAAGGAAAGAAAGAAGAACAGGCAGGGTAAGGGGAATGGGGGCCTCAGGGGCTCGGCCTGCCTGCGACCCTCCCTTCTCAACTTGGTCCGGTCCCACCGCCTCCTCCTGGCCTTTACTCAGGGTGATTCCTCTACCTGGACTCCCCTCCGTTGCACGTGGTAAACTCTTACTCGTCTTTCAAGACCCCAGCTGGATTGGCCCTAGTACAGAAGGCCTTCCTATATTCTCTCCAAGTCCCTTTAGAAGCCCAACAATAATGCTATAATTTAGCCTAAGCTCACTAAATGCCAGTTATTATGATAACTGAAAACAGCTCACACATTTCCAAAGTAGTTTCAGTGGGAACGATATTGCTAAACTGACATAGAGAGAGAGTTAAGAGCAGGACTCAGGTCCTATTAATTGTGTGGTGTGGCCTTCAGCAAACTATTCAAACCTCAAGAGCTTCCCTAAAGTGGGACTAACAACAGTATCTAAACCTCATAGGGCTGTTGTGAGGATTAAATGGGCAAAGCATGTAAAGCACATAGCACAGTGGGGTTCCAGCCCTTGGTGCACTCACAGGGCAGATACATGGGGGAGTCCAAAGGTCGGGGCTAGGGCTGGGGAGGCAAATCTCAGCTTAATGGCAAAAACTTCCGACTGCCAGACTTGTCCAGAGATAAGAGGGGCACCCAGGAGGGCATGAGCTCCCTGTCCCTAGAGTGTGGGCTTGGGCTGGATGCGCAGCTTATGGGATGTTGTGAGATACCGATACAGGCTGAGGCTGGCCCAGGAGACTCCCAGGTCTTTTGGAATTCTGGAATTTGAGGAGCTACACAGTGGACTTGGAGCCTGAGAGTTGTGAGAAGGGGGCTGGGAATCCACAGACGGAATGGACCTGGGACATCAGGCTGGCAGGATCCACATGGATAACTGAGTCGCAGAACTTCACTGTACAGATGGAGGACAGGCCCAGAGAGGAGCAGCACTGTGCAAGGTCACACAGCAAGTGGCATATAAGTGCTGATGGCACACCCTGGGGAAGTTGTGTGTGTGTGTGTGTGTGTGTGTGTGTGAGAGAGAGAGAGAGAGAGAGAGAGAGAGAGAAGGGGGGGAAGTGAGGAGGCCCATCTGGCCCAGCCCCCAGCAGGGCTGTAGTTAATGGCCCGTAAACTGAAGGCTGACAGTGAGGAATAGGGCCCAGCTGCTGAGTCAAGACCAATAAGCTCAGAGACTTGATAAGGGCTCTACCCTTGTGAGAGTCAGCGATGGCCAAGAAGCCTCCCACCAAGCCTGTTCCCCTCTCCCACCACAGCACTGATGATCTGCAAACTTTCACTGCAGGGGCCAAAAGGAGCAACAGATACAGGGCCAGGAGCCTTGGGTTTTAGGCCAAATTCCACCAAATGCCTGGCTGTGTGACCCTAAATAAACCATGGAGATAGGAGTCTGCGTTGTCTATCTCATAGGCTTAATCATCTTAATTGCTGCTATTTATTGGGCCTTGGCAATGAGCCAATACTTGTCCTAAGTATTTTACACATACAACCTCATTTAATCTTCTCAACACCCCATGATATAGCGTGGCTCAGAGAGGTTAGTGACCAGTGACTTTGGCACCACTTCTTTACATCAAGTTGGAGTCATGTGACCAGCTATCACCAGGAAGAGATGGGCCATAACATGGAAAAGTGGTTGTGCTTTCTCACCACTCCCTCTCCATATTCATCTGCTGCCCAGACCCAGCAGTGGAGGATTCCAAAACCATCATATGGAGCCTGGGTCCCTGAACGATGTGTGGCATAGAGACCCTCCTCTTGCTCACATTGAACAGTAATGTGAGTAAGAAATAAATTTCTACCCTAACCGGTTTGGCTCAGTGGATGGAGCGTCGGCCTGCGGACTGAAGGGTCCCAGGTTCGATTCCGGTCAAGGGCATGTACCTTGGTTGCGGGCACATCCCCAGTGGGGACTGTGCAGGAGGCAGCTGATCGATGTTTCTCTCTCATCGATGTTTCTAACTCTCTATCCCTCCCCCTTCCTCTCTGTGGAGAATCAATAAAATATATTTTTTTAAAAAGAAGGAAAAAAAAGAAATAAACTTCTACTGTTTTAAGCCATTGCACAGCTCCCCTGACTGATAGAGGTGGTTACTATACTAATAATTACCATTTTGCTCTGAAGAAATGCACCTATCTATCTGTCATTCTCTGAAGGCCAATCTCTAGGCGTTGCTTTGGTCATTTGAGCCAATGATTTCAAACTGGGGTGGAAGGGAATTTGGGATGGGACTGCAGACCTTGTGGCCTCCATTGCTCATGGATCAGTGACAGCCTCACCCCACTGGCCACCCATCTATCTCCTTAAAGGTCAGTCATCCACACACTTCTGGCCAGCGGCTACATGCTCACAAATCCGCCATCCATAATCCCATTGATAATTTCCTTTGGCCAGCAATCCATATGACTACTGACTAGCCATTCATCCTCACCACAGTCAACCATTCCCATTCCCATTGGTTGACTATCCATATTCCCACTGGCCAGTCATCCACACTTTCATTGATCAGCAGTCCATATCTCTACCCTCGTAAGTGGCCTATAAACCCACAGAGGCCCATGTGCTGCCTCCTGTGGCCACTCACCCCGGGGACGGGTCACAGCCATGATCATGATGGGTACACCAACACCTGATGCCAGGACCCATATGCAGATGTTGATCAGCTTGGCCTTGGCGGGGGTGCGGAAGTCCAGGGCCTTGACAGGGTGGCAGACAGCAACATAGCGGTCAACACTCATCATGGTGAGTGTGAAGATGCTGGTGAACATATTATAGTAGTCGATGGAGAGCACAGCCTTGCAGAGAAGTTCCCCAAAAGGCCACGTCTCCATCAGGTACTTGGCGCTCTGGAAGGGCAGCGTGCTGGTGGCCAGTGCATCTGCCAAGGCCAGGTTGAAGATGTAGATGTTGGTGGCTGTCTTCATCTTCGTGTACCTTAAAAGGAAATGCACATATAACTCTCCCAATGCACAGATTTCTGTTTCACTTGAAACTCAGGGAGGCGAAATGACTGATCCAAGGTCACACAAAAGTCCAGGGCAGAGGAGGGACTAGAACCCTGACCTCTCTGATTCAGCATCATTCCTTTCCATTCTAACAGATGAAAGAGCATTTATCTGGCTTGGAGTAACTTTGGCAGAAGGTATTTTAGGAAAAACCCTTATCTTTTAAAAATAAAACAGCTCCAGAGGGAAACAGGTCTAGGTTCGAATCCTGCCTCTACTGTTTGTCAGCTGAATGCTTCTGGGCTAGTAACTTGACCTTTCTAAGTCTTAGTGTTCACAACTGTAAAAAGAGGGACAATATTTTTACCAATCTCATTAAGTTGTTATGAAATGTAATGAGATGATATAGCACTTAGGACAGAGCGCAAAGCATGATAAGTGCTTGGTATATGATAGATGTTATTATTCTTCAAGTATAAAGAACGAAGCTGGGGGCTAGACCAGAGTGACCTGACCCTCTACCACTGACCTGGCCTTTTGGGAATATGATTGGGCAGCTCTGATGGAGGGACTCTGCCTAGCAGAAAGATTAGGACCTTAGACCACCTGGAATGTCCTCCATGGGCTCCCAGTCCTTCCTACTGTCCTTTCCAGACTATCTTATTCCCATACAGCTGGACTCACCCAGCTGTAGGAAAGGGGAGCAGGGGACAGTGTCAGACCTCCAACACAGAACACATGCCCAGGTGTCCAAGCCAAATGTCTGTACCCTGTACCCGAAACTCTCCATCATCCATCCCTCCACGGTCTATGCTGCCACACAGCTGCTTGCACCACAGCTGGCCCCTGTTTGGCCAACATTTCCAGTCCTGGCGGGGCACCAGGTACGCTGGAGGAGGCTCGTACACTGAAAACAGTGCCAGTGCAATGTGATCATGGAAACATACCAGTGCACCAAGGCAGGGGTAAGGACTGCTTTCATGTCCCTGGAATGATCCGAGGAACCCAAAGAAGAGCTGTCTGAGTGACTCCTCAAATTCCAGAGCAGAAGAACTCTGAGAGGTGGAGGGGAGTGATTTTATGAATGTGTGGTCCAAGGACTTCCCTCACAATCATTGGAAGAACCCCAAGAAATGCAGATCCTGGGACCCCCACCCCAGACCTTGAGATCTTAATCTCTGGGAATCTTCATCTTTAACCAGAACCCCCTCCCCCAAGTGATTCTTATGGATCCTAAAGTTTAAGAAACACGATGTAGCCTATTGCCCATGTTGAGGAGAGATGGGGAAACTGAGCCAAGGTGAGGAGTGACAGTGGCAGAGCTAAGTCAAGAACTTAGACCTCCTGACTCCCGGACCAAGGCTTTCTCTCCACTCTACCCCAAGGGTGGAACCGCACTTCTGCCTCTACCCCTCTAGGCTGGACCGATGCGTGCCCTCAAGGTGTTTGGAATGACTGAATGGATTCTACCGGCTAAGGCTCCATGATGTCACTGATTTGTTGGCTTTAAAAAAAAGATGCTGAGTCACTCATTGTCCTCCAGGGCCAGCATCTGTCCTACTCTCTTCCAAAATAGCCGTCACTTGCCCTGCAGCTGGAGAAGCAGAAAGTTTTGCTGGAAGACAGCAGAATTGCAAGTCTTGGAAAGTCTGTCTTCAGTGGGGTGCGGGATCACAGCTGTGTGGGAGGCAGTCTCAACCCCACAGCTGACTCGTCTAATTTTGCTTCTTTTACGCAGAACAATTAGAGGCTGTTCTTTGCCTGCTATTTTGATTTATGAAGGCTCCTTCAATTCCCAGGGCTGGGCGGGGGGGGGGTGAGATGCTGGGAAGTAGGTGATGAAGCTGCTGTAGCTGATCCAGGCAGGGCTGAGAGGCCGAGTGCTGCCAGCCAGCCAGAGCCCCCTCTCCTCACAGGCCTCCCCACCCCGCAGCTAACCAGCCCCCAGCCCTGTCCTGTTGGCCTCTTCTGACAAATCATGCCGCTCTGCCCTAGTTGGTTTGCTCAGTGGTTAGACCACCGGCCCTTGGCCTGAAGGGTTGCGGGTTCAACTCCCAGCCAAGGACACGTACCTCAGTTGCAGGCTCGATCCCCAGTGCTGGTTGGGAGTGTGCAGGAGGCAACCAATCGACGTGTCTCTCACACATTGATGTTTCTCTCTCTCTGTTTCTGCCCCCCCCCGCCTTCCACTTTCTCTAAAATTCAGTGGAAAAAATATCCTTGGATGAGGATTAACCAAAAAAATAAATAAATAATCATTCCGCTTTCCTGCGCTCAAGGCCAATTCCACAAACTGGCCCCAACCACCTCTTAGGCCTCAGCTCCCAGAACCTTCCTTTGATGGCTGTCCCCCCCACCCCTCACTTCTTCCCTGTTCCTTGGACACATCCAGCCCACTTCCACCTCAGGGCCTCTGGACTGCTGCTCACTCTTCCTAGAAGCCTTGAGTCCCCAGTTGTGCACGGCTTGCTCCTTCACTTAACTCAGGACTCTATTCAAATGTCGCCTCCTCAGAGAGGCTGCCCTGACCTCCCTATCCCTACCATCACTCTCTCGCTCCTAACACTGCTTCATTTTCTTTATATCACGAACTACCGCCTGACTTAATATTTATCTTCTTTTCTGTCCATTTGACTCTCTCGCCCACATAAACTCCCCGAAGACAGGCCTTTTGTCCATTTTGTTCCCTGCTGTATTACCGGCCCTACCAACAGTGCCCGGTAAATAGCAAGCTTTCAATAGGCATCTGTTGTATAGGCCAGGTCTCACCAGCTCTCACAGGGACCACCACAGCAGCCTCTCCGCCCCTCAAGTCATCATCCACATAAGCCGGGGTGCTCACAATAACAGGCAGATTTGCTCAGGACACTTTTCTGTTTACAGTCCTTCTGTGGCTCCCCATTGCCATCTGGATAAAAGCCAAACCCCTCAGACGGGCATTCCATCTGCGCGAGCTCCTTTCCCACAGTGCCTTCCGCACCCAGACACTCCATCTCGCATCCCCTCCCCGCTAAGAGACAGCCACTATAATGGTTTGGCGGGCCTCCTTCCAAACCACATATATGCATATAGCTTTTTATAAAATTTTATTTCTGCCAGTGTAATCCAATGACATCATATAAAAAGTCACATAGCACCATAATGAAAATAGGTGCCCCTCTGCCCGCCCCTTCCCCATGCCTCTGGCCTGCTCGCCAGAGCCACCACTTTTCACGTTTTTAGTTATTCTTCTAATCATTATCTCCATCATTCTAAACAGCATGTTTAAATGGTGGTTTCCTGATGTAGCCATGTTAGACAGTAGCTGAAGTTTGTATTCGGTCGAGCCAGGCTAGGCAGCCATGACAAACAATCCCAAAATCTCAATGGCTTAACACAACCAAGGTCTCTCCCTCACCCCTGCAGAGTGCTGTCAGTGCTTCCAGGACTATACGCCACAAGATAATCCCAGCCTGCTGTAATCGCTAGGCTCTGCCTGAGGCTTCCTTGATCACTGGAGGGAGGGAGAAGAGACAGCTACAGGGCCGGCTCTGGTCTAGCTGCAGCATAGCACTTCCACCTGAAGCCCATGGACTAGAACTAGTCCTGTGGCCCCAGCCAACAGCAAGTGGCTGAGAAGTGAAGTCTTTTATGTATCCAGAAGCAGGGAGAATCAGGTATTACGGAACACTAGTAATGACCTCCCCCACTCTCTTACACTACCCAATGCCACCGCCCCTCCCCATTCTTCCAATATAGTTTTACCACAATTTTTAAAATTTAAGTTAAACCGATATTCAAGGTTTATACTCTTTTTTGTGAGGTTTATATTCTTTTTTAAAAAATATATTTTATTGATTTTTTACAGAGAGGAAGGGAGAGGGAGAGAGAGTTAGAAACATGGATGAGAGAGAAACATCCATCAGCTGCCTCCTGCACACTCCCTACTGGGGATGTGTCCGCAGCCAAGGTACATGCCCTTGACTGGAATCGAACCTGGGACCATTCAGTCCAGCTCTATCCACTGAGCCAAACCGGTTAGGGCGTGGGGTTTATATTCTTATGACTTTGTCGATATTGTCCACTGCTGAGCCAAATGGTATGCTATAATCACATTTATTTTCTACTACAGATTTTTGTTTTTCCTGGAATTAATAATTGCCTCCTTTTTTTTTTTCATTTGTACACATATTGCTAAATCTCCTCAAACATTCCAGCAGACCCATAAAATGCCTTTCCCATGTAGTCACATAATATACCAGTTCCTTTTCCTAGTGATCTATCTCCTGGAGTCACTCTCCTTCCCTTTCTTTTTTTTTTAAAATCCTCACCAGAGGGTATGTTTCCATTAATTTTTAGAGAGAGGGGGAAAGCGAGGGAAACACAGAGAGAATGCCCTTGACCGGAATCGAACCCGGGACCCTTGGGTCCGCAGGTTGACGCTCTACCCACTGAGCCAAAGCAGCTAGGGCCCTCCTCCCCTTTCACTCTGCGGGTGGTTTCTTTCCAGACCAGCTGCACACCTGTGCTCTTGTGTTAGAGCACCTGCTTTCTGGCTTACACGTCTTTTCTATCTTGGTTTATGCCCTCGTGTTGGTGCAGTACATCTTTTAGTCCCTTCCTAAGAAAGGACACATAGAAAATAACATTTTTACACTCTTCCATGTCTGACAATGCCTTCCTTCTATCCTCACTTCCGATTTCTCTGACTGTATAAGGATGAGTAGGTTGAAAATCATTTTCCATCAGAATTTTGAAGGCCTGGCTTCCTCATCTTCTAACTTCCCTGTTGCCCCTGAAGTATCTGAACCATTCTGACTCCTGGTGATTTGTCAGCTGCCCTCTCTGGCCAAGAAACTTCTAGTATTGTCTCTTTATCCCTAGTATTCTGACGTCCGTGGTGATGTACTTTGGGTGGTTCTTTTTCATTTTATTGGGCCCTCTCAGTCTGCAGATTCATGTCCTTCGATTTGAAATGTCCTTATAGTTATTGGGTCATTTCCACCTCTG